GCTAGCCATTCCCCGGTGGCCACAAACAATCCATTTCACTGCCTTCACCATAACAATTTGTTCGGAGGCGGCCACGTGACAAGGCAAGCCAATCAGTATGAAGCCTGAGATCTTTACTTACAGAGACAGAGCAGCCAGTGACATCAATGATCCCACCTTCCATTTATAGGAGAGGCAACTGGAGCCCAAGGACACCCAACAGAGCAGAATCAGCACTGGATCTAAACACAGGTCTCCTGACTTCCACCTGGGTGATGTTTCTGCTGTTTCCCAGTGCCTCTTCAGAAAAGACAACAGGATTCCCTTCAAATGCTATGCTTAACTTCACTTAATAACTTCTTAATAAAATGTATATTGAGTGTTTTCTATAGGATGGGGGCACCATGCAAGATTCTGTGAAGTTTAGCATGAATGGTATCTAGCTGGCTTAGCCTCATAGGGACATACTTCCAAACGAGTAAACTATTTTTTGCAATCTTGCTATAGTGACATTTTCTGCAAAGCAGAGAACTCCTTCCACTGGCTCATGTCCTATGAGTTCCCAAGGATGCTCATCAAAACTCCAGTGCTTGCTGTGCACTTTTCAAAAGAGGCTGAGCTCAGGAGCTGGTAGGATTTGATTTTTATTAAAAAAAAAAATCACCTGCTCTGTACCCTACTGCTCATCAACAAACCAATAACTGAAGTCAGAAAATTGCAACAGCCTGAATTTCATGAATTTCTGTTTTAAGGCTGCTTTTAGGTGGGTCCTTTCCCAGGCTGTGTGCACTCTGACGGAATTGTAACCCAACTCCCACATCTTCTGTTGCTCTGTGCCTTCTGTAACGTCCCCTGGATGAACATTTATCAGTGAGGTACATCAATTTTCATAGGAGAAAGAAAGAACTAGGATTTATTGAGTACCTACCAGGTACTAAACACTGTTTTAGCAATTATACCTACATTATCTCATTTAAATCCTCTTAAAGGTAGATGAGGAGGCATTATCTTTTTTTTTTTTTCATGTGACAGATGAGAACTAAGGCCCAGAGATACTGAGTAATTTGGCTGCCAAATGACTCTGCCACAGCTAATAGGTGGCAGAGCAGGGAACCAAATCCAAGACTGTCCACCTCCAATATTCTTACCTTCCTGCTGTTGCCCTCAGATCAAACCTCAACTAAGAAAAGTTTTATTTCAACAAATAGTAGAAATCCTGTTTGGAGGAAAGCTGGCATGGGAACATTGGTGCTCTGGGCTACATTGTGTTTGTATCTAGGGTTGGGTCTGAGAGAAAGGTAGGTCCAGAATTTAGTGTACATAGAATTACCCAGGAGGTGCATTTAAAAAATAAATGTGAAATGAAAAGTGAAAAAAATGTAGAGGCCCCATGCCTGTAGGAATGGGTGGGCCCAGGATTGACACTGGTAAGAGGCATCGCCGGTGATCCTGGGTCAAGTTCTTAAGCCATTCTTTGAGTTCTGGGACCTGGTCCTGGGTGTGATGTAATGTCTGGTGTGACTCTGGGCAACCTCGTTTATCTCAAGGGGACTCAGTCCCCTTATCTACGGAAGCACAAAGGGCGAAAAAGTGTATTTTCTTCACTGTCTTCATCCAAGGGTATTATTTGCATTGTCTCGTAAAGTTATCTCCCCAGCCTGATGGGGTGTGAACACTAGCGTGGCCGCCATTTTGGAAACGGCAGAAATGAGTCAGGATGTAAGTGGCTTGGACAAGACCACATGACCTGACTCCAGCCAGAGCCAGAGTGAGTAAATCATTGCACTGTGCCTGCAGCTTCCCCCACGTTCAGGGCTCCAGTGGGGCACTGGATTAAGGGACAGGTTAGGTTCAAAGATTCATTTTACAAAATAAAAAATTTCCAAGACACACCTTCATATTGACTAGAAAAGTCCACTGGCTTGAGGTTGGTGTCTTCCTTCCTGGCTATTAAGTAAATATGCCAGGAGTCCCCGGGGCTGGGCACGAGTGGAGCCACAGCAGCGACCCTAGGGAGCAGCTTGCCCTGGAAACCTCAGGTAGTGAAAAATGAATAGTACAAACTGGTGAAATCTGTTTGCCATTTCCTGGCAGATATGTTCCCCTCCAAGGTGAGTTACAGCGGATACAGGTGGAAGCAGGAGACTCGCATCTTCAGGGACCTAGTCCTTCTCCTTCCCAGCTACTGCTTCCTTATCCAACCTCCCCACGAGACACGCACCCCTCTGCCCATGCACTGTGTTCCCAAAGTGGGTTCCATTCAAATCACTGGATCTGAAGATGTGAACTAGTTTTCTGGAGAGAAAAGAGATCAGACATAGAATGTGTTTGCGAAATGACTGGTTGTACAGAGTTTGACAGTTTTTGTTACCATGAGATTTTTCAGGGCTTTAATTTGCTCACCTGATAATAATAGTAATAACACTGCCAGTTACAACCTTCCTGTGTTGATCACTTTTGACGTGCCAGGCACTGTGACACGTGTTGTACGCATTAGCTCATCTCGTCCTCACAACAACCGAGCAGGGAGGTGAGAGCGTTGTCTCCACTTTGTAGATCAGAAAAGAGGGGCTCAGAGGCGTTGAATGACTTGGAGGAGGCAAGAAGACCAGCCTCATGACGGGGCCACGAGTGGAACCCAGGTGTGTCTGAGGCTAAGTGCATCACACCCCGACTGTATCTCCACTTCAAGACGGTGGCAGGGTGGGTGGTGGGGGGACATACGAACACCCAACCTTGTCATCATGCCTTATGTAGTGTCTGGAGGTCGAGTAGGAAACACTAGGGGCAGATCAGTGACCCCAGAGGAACTTGGACCATCCCTCTCTGAGACCCCCTTTCTCCTCCCCAGACAAAGCAGGATAAATAAAGGCGCATTTAACAGAACAGTGGAAACTAGCCTGGTCTGAGTAGAAAAATAGCTTATAAGCCCTTGCTTTTGACCTGTCCTGAGATCTCTTCTAAATGCATCAGACAACAACCAGCTGATATAAAGACAGGGAGGCTGACTGCCTCTAAATGCTGTCACGGGAATCATAATGGCTTTGTTTTTCACAAGGGAAGGGAGAAAAAAAGTTTATGCCTCAAATTAGTAGGTCTGTCGTGTTCCAAATTGTTTGCATTTCTAAAAATGGACGTTGACATGTGAATGGTTATTATCTAATGCAAGACCCAAAAATCTGCCTCTCTCAAGGCAACAACTGGGTAATCAAGAGATGCTCATTAGACACATGGGTCTACAGCTCTCTCTCCCAATTCTGGAATATGGAGTGACCCTCTTCATCCCCTCTCCTCGCCCCAGAGCTCAAGTTGCTTCCGAGCCTCTGGGACCCTGGTCAGACTCCTCTTTTCAGAATCCTCAACTCACAGAAAGATGCTTGCAGACTCAATCCAAAGGTCTTAGTTCCCCAACAAGATTTTTCTCCCGCAAGTGGTTTTTATGGTCCCCAGACCAGCAGCATCCGTATCACCTGGGAAACCGTCAGTAATTTGAGTCTCCGGGACACACCCAAGGCCGAGCGAATCAGAAGTTCTGGGGTGGGGCCCAGGAATTGGGTTTTAGCAACCTTCCAGGGGGCCGCTGATACACGCTCAAGTGGCCAATGTGAGACTCACAGGTCGGTCGGCCCACAGCCGCCTCCTCCCCACGCCCATGCACGCACTCACTGCATTCTGCAGTCTCTTCGTTATCCTCTGCTCCCTTTTCTTCTCTTCATCCTCTACCCACCCCGGTTCAGGTCACTGCCCACCTGGATGACTCCAACTCCAGCCCACCCACCCCACCTCCAGTCTCCACTTGGAAACTAGAACTATCTTCCAAGAAAGCAAAATGATCCTGCCAGCATCTTACCTAGAGCCCTGCAATGTCTTCTAACTTCTCCCAGTTCAAGGTCACTAAAGAGTTTCACCTCCACCTGCTTGGGCCAGCTCTGTCCTCCCGATCATCAAATCCAACAGAGCATAAGGAGTAAAGAAAGAAGAGAACTGCGTTTCCGGTCTGTTCTGGAAAAGAGCTGCTCCCATCACAACCCAGTGGGAAATAGCTTAAGCATTAGAGTCAGAAAGATATGGGTTCGAATTGCAGCTCTGCCACTTAGCTGCTCTATGTCTTTAGACAAGCAAGACCTATCTTCACTTAGACACCCATGTGTCTGAAGGAGAGAGACAGTGTATACGCAGCTGGGGCGTGGGAGACTCAGCGATCCAATGACAGAAAGGGCCCAGCCCTCTGTCTGGCACAGAGTAGGGAGTTAATAAATTACATGGCCTGGCCACCCAAGCTAGTGAACTCACAGACTCAACTGGACCAACTCCTCAACATTTTTTTTTTACTGAAGTATAGCTGATTTACAATGTTGTGTTAATTTCTGATGCACAGCATCGTGGTTCAGTTATACATATATATGTTCTTTTTCATATTCTTTTCATTATAGGCTATTACAAGTCACTGAATATAGTTCCTTGTGCTACACAGTAGGACCTTGCTGTTTATTTTATACACAGTTCCTTAACTTTTGACGCTCACCGCAGTCGCCAGGAAAGTTGAAAATAGCATCCTGTTCCCCAGAAGCCTAATCATTCCCAAGACCCAAGCCCAATAGCCTGACTGCTTATCTCTCCCTCAGAAGGCGTGTTTTCCCCCTGCATTAATTTACCTTCTGTTTTGCCATTTGCCTGTGTAGCTGCTGGCGGAAAAACAACATTTCCTGGATGTCTTACCTGGGGTGGTTTCTGACGGTGACATTTTCCTTCGGGCAATGAATGTCGGGAAATGAGGACTCGCACGCTTTTCAACAACAGCGCGGAGCAGAGACACGCCACGCCAGGTGCGCACACGCGCGCTCGCACACACACTCACATACATGCACAACAACAACACACTGGAACTCAGACGGACCTGCAGGTCCACCCAACGCGGACACACGTGCGCACTGGTCACACACAGACACCCTGTGCCTTCACCGATTAACGTCAAATCCAACAACACCTAGACAAGAGGGCTAGGAAAAGCCGTACGGTACCTTTTGGTGACTTAAGTGTCGCCACTGCCCAGTCACCCTCAGAACTTCCTAAAAAAATAACAATGGAGAGATGCTGATCTGTTGGCCGGCTTCCCGTGTGCGCTGGGCCCTCACACCCAGGTGCGGCTGGCTGGCACCCCAGCTGCAGCCTCCCGGGGGGGGGCAGGTCTCAGGGGACCTGGGGAAGAGGGCCAGGGACCAAATGCACAACTGTGATTATGTGAACACCTCTTTCTGCAAGGCCCTGAAGCCCTGTCAAGATAACACCCAACACAGGATCAAAAGAGGTTCCCTCAAAAAGGCCTAGATGTTTTCAGGGAGAGAGAGAATTCTTAGGTGGTGAATCTGGCTCTAAATTTCAACCCTCTAAGAAAGAAAGGAAAATCTGAGTTACGTGAGGTCACTCTGGCTGACGGCAACATTCAGTAGACAAGAGAGAAATTTTTATCTTTTACTGCAATCTCCCTCTTAAAAAGGGGGGCGGGGGTGCTTTATTAGCTCCAAATTCAAGGTGGGGGCAGGCTCTGCTGACTGCAGCTTTAAATGCTGGGTGATAGGCGAGGGGTGGAGAGCGCAGAGTGGGGAGATCGCCCTGCCACATTGCCTGGCACCCAGTCTGTGTTTGCAAAATCCTGTTGAATGCATGAATGAATTCAAGGTTCTCCACGGAGTCACTTTTCCTAAGGAAAGGAATTCCCCTAAATGCTAAAGGGATCAGTTTTGTTATCTGAGAATCCCATAATGCCTGGAATTTTTTTTTTATCATAAATCGGTTTGTCTGAATTGAATTCCGTTTTGGATGTATGGCTGAACATGGCAGCACCCTACCCCGGTTTCCTGGACAGGCCTCCTCCATAACATTGGGTTTTGCTCAAAGCGGGGCCAACCTATCCACGGGCCTGTGCAGCAGCCTCTGCCCATTGGCTGGAGGCCTGACCAATCAGCGTGCGCCCCTAGCTCGCCTGTCCTTTCTTAGGAATCTACCTGGAAAAACCAAGTCTTCAACATTTCTGCCCAATTTCCAGAGATATCAGGCTGCCAGCTGGGAGGAGACGCAGGGAACAGTTTGTGATCTGAATGATTACAGAGCACGGATCCGGCCCCATTTAAGCATTTCTGGTTGGCCTCCCAGGCGTGCCAGAGGACGCTCAAATTGCCACGTTCCCCCTGCGGATATGAACTCTACACCCTCATCACTCACAACGGAGGGGAAATTGGAATGACAGGAGACGAGTGACGAAGTTAAAATTAAGTGGGACCCGCCTGGGATGACTTGGTGTTTCTTCTCCTCTGAGACAGGGTCACTGACATCTGGAAATAGTGACGTGGCCCCAGATCTTCCTGTGCGGGTGGACACAAGCCTGTTGGCGTCACTGAGTCATTGGGCCCAAGGAAGCCACCTTGTCCCCAAGTCAAATCCATCACTGTTTGCCTTGAAGGCAGGAAACATCCAGTGGTCACCTCCGTCCCCACTACCTAAGACACGGCTTAGCTCTGGCAAGGCAGTAACAAATTTTGTTTCATAAATCCATTGCTAATAAGGGCATTTAATAAGATGTCACACAAACTACCAAATACATAGTTAAGGTCTCCTTGTGTGCTTGGTGGCACTAGTGGACAATAGATAAATACTTCTTGGGTGAAAAATTGAACCCTTATATAAAGGGGATGAGCCTAAGGCAGTGAGGAAGGGGACATGAGGGAACTTTCTGGGAGATGAAAATATTTTTTATCCTTACCAGAATATTAATTACCCTAGTGAATGTATATTTCAACAATCACACTATTGTAAAATTATGATCTGTGTATTATACTATATATATCAAATTATACCTTGACTATCATATACTTGAAAAAGTTAGACCTCAATTATACTCAGCAAACAAAGAAAAACAATGAATATCTTAGTAAGTCCTCCCCTACAAAAGAAGAGAACGGGCCTCTTCAATTTTTCTTTTGCCTGGTTCTGCCCTTCCGGTGCCAGAAATTGCTCTGCGGAAGACAGCACCATTCCGTGGGAGGAAGACGGCCTCAATCAGTCAACCCTGAATATGATTCTTGGCTCTTTGGGTGTGACTGTAGGGAAATTACTTAACTATACTGGGCCTCAGTTTCCCCATCTGCAAAACATTGGGCCTGATACCTCCCTCAGAGGTGTGCTGTTTGAGAGTGAGTTCAATGATACTAGCTCCCTTTCTTCCATAACTTAAAAAACAAACCAACAAACAAAAAACTAGCAGCGGTTAATTCACAGTGGCGGAAGGGCTTATGCATCATGTAGCCTTTTCGCATGTGATTCCTCCAGAAAGAGTGAAAAAGGAATTCTTGCCACGTCTAAGTGCATTGCTGCCGTGGTGGTAAGAGGCGCTGTTGGAAAATGGAACACAGTGCTAGCAAAAATAGTCCGTCCACTGTCAAACAGCAACAGAGAAAAGATTTTCTTATGAAAATTTCGAACTACAAACAAAGGCACCGTAGCGTTTTATCAGTAATACTGGTGCCTCCTCTCTTGATCTCCCTGGGCAGCATAAGTTGCGCCGAAGCATCTGAAGGGCACGTGGTCAGGACCCTTAGGCAGCCAAGAATTTAAACTCTCAGATACCTGGAGGGAAAAAAACCTCTTGACGTGAGGCCAATAGAAGCTAAAAGCCAATGTGCAAGCGATTTTTCCTTTACAATGCCATCAAGAATTAATAAAATAAAAAAAAGTGGTCTTTTGCCAGCTGTGGAAGCAGGAGTCACCCATCTCTGAACCATCAGATGGCCCTTAGGGATATCTTCACCACTGTCTTGGAAACATTTACCGGAGAGGAGCCATAACGTGGGCTCTCACATTGTAACCACCCATCACACCAGTGGCTCAGGCCAGAGGATGTGTGTGCTTAACTGGATTTTCAGGCTATAGTTTGGCTGAGTCTAGAACAAGACACACGTCTCAACTTTCCTTAGTAGAAAATATTTCTAAAATGTTTAACCCCACATTTCTGACTTTAGTAAGAAGCGTTAGTTGAGTAAAACTGACCCTTTCTTTGATGGATTTTAGGAGTCGTTGGTCTGGGCACATGGGCCTTCTTTGTCCAGGCTATCGATGGGGAGAGTGAAGAGGTCTGGGCTGTCTCTCTGCCGGCCCTAAGCACAGCTCAGAGAAGTCACTTGTTGTCTGCTTGCTCGTTTGTTTCATCAGATTCCTAAAATGAGTTAGCCTTCATGCACGTCTTCCCCATCAAACTGGAGCGAAGGGTATGGACACAACTCTGTATTTCCTTCAAAATGAAATCTACCAATTGCATGTTAATCAAGGGACCGGTGTGTTTGGAGATTCGAGGAAAAATATGACCAGCAAACGACTCTGCCTGGAGACTCTCATACGTGGCAGGATGGACGGAAGGCTGACTCTGCACTGGGTTAAGCGTGTTCCCTGCACTACATCGCTGAATCTTCCCAAGAAACCGTTGTTGTGTGTTTTTATTATCTCCACTGTACACATGGGGAAACTGAGCCGTGAGGCGGTTAAGTAATTTCTGCAATAAACATGTGAAACAAATCTTGAACTCAGTCCTGACCCACTGCTGAGGCTGTTCTCCAGTCCAGCATCCTGCTAGTCCCCTCCTGCTCCTGGCCTGATGTGAGCAGCGCCTGTCACGTGGTATTATCGTTCACTGGTTTTGCCCATATGTATGGGGGGGACTTACTGGGTTCCCTTCAAAGTGATAGGAGCTGGGGATACAGACAGACTTGGTTCCTGCCTCAGGGGGACCTTACAGTCAAGGGACGCCAGATTAAATGTTTGGAGAATGAATGAATGAACTGAACAAAAAATGATCCAACTCCATCACTCCTTCTTGTACAGAGGACCACGTGGTTTTAGCTCCTTACATTTCCCTAGTGCGTGTTAATCTTTTACCAACAACTGGACAGTGAACTCCTTGGGAACAGAGGTCATTCTGTAGCCACATGCTATATGTGACCAGATGTTCCCAAATCCCTAAATTATAGAGAGAGAAGAGTTCTCTTTAGACATGAATGAGTAGGATTTCCACAAGCAAACAATAATAAATAAAATAAAATAAGGTAAAGTAAAATTAAATTAAAAATAAAATAGACATGAAGGCTTTTCGGGGGCAGAATTTTTCTTAAGAACAACCAGTTCCCACCCATTTCTCCCCAGAGTTGGTAGTGAATGAATGGGACATACTTAATGGCCCACAAGCATTCTAATAACAAGGATGAGTAGAATTATTTAATTTTCTAATTTGTAAAATTAAAATGGAGCTTGGAAGCTATAGAATTCAGCTTCCTCATTTTTCACACGAAGCAGCTTAGGTCAGAGGGTTGTGGTGACCGGCTCAAAGCCACCGGATGTTCTGAATATTAAATTTCCAAGAGAAATTTATTTTTCAGAAGAAGTTTAGAACTTGGCAGTTAACCCTAAAGGCTGTCCAAGCCTCCCCTTATTTGCTGAACTGAGAGTTTTAAAAAATGAGTCTGGTTCTCAGAGAACGCCGTGCTTTCAACAGCAGACCACTTTTTAAACAGCTTCTCTCCTGGGTGGTGATGATTTTGATAATGAAATGCATTTCCTCATTCACACCATGGTCACATTATATCTTAACAAAGAACCCTTGGAAGAATGTTTATTATGGGATTTGCATGTCATTTGGGCAGGCAGACTCTGGACTCCTGGGTAGCCCTTTGGGTCAGGCAGTCGCTCAGCCTGCCCCTCTCGGGACCTCTACTTGCTAGAGATTCACGGGACCATCCGTGACTCAGATAAAGCTTGTGAACTCTTGGCACAGTCAGAAAAGAAGGACAGAGAAGAGGAGCACACGGTCCATATCCAGGATTGGCGTGGGTCCCCCAGGTGAGGTCCCTCAGAGTTTTTAGAAGATACAAGGATGCTCCCTTCCTACTAAGCTATTCTTTGATTCTTGTCGAAGACAAGCTCATTCATTCATTCAACAAACATTTAAGGAGTTTCTGCGTCGTAGAAGAAAGAGAGTTACTCAAAGTCAAAGAAACTTTCAGACTTCAAATTTAATTCCAAATGCATGGCAGACCTTTGCTATACAAAGGAGCCTTGTGTAAATAGGGAACTCTGTTGGAATATCAATTTATGATTTATCCAAAGAGCTACTGGGTGTTGAGGGGGAATGAGACACCAGGCGTACGTTGAAGACATGAGTTGTTTTTGGTAATGTGACCAGTTCCAAAAAAAAAAAAAAAGATGTCTGGGTGGATTCTTTTTCTGTTGGTTTTTTTGTTTGGGGTGGGGGAGGTAATTAGGTTTGTTTATTTACTTATTTATTTAAATGGAGGTACTGGGGATTGAACCCAGGACTCTGTGCTTGCTAGGCATGCCCTCTACCACTGAGCTATACCCTCCCTCCTGGGGTAGATTCTTTTTACGCCCAAAGAATCAAATGTAAGGGCAGATGCTAATTATCACCCAAATGCAAGGCTGAGAGAGGGAGGCAGGTTACCAAAGCACGCATGAAGGCTTCCGAAGTTAGATCCACACAGGTACCCTAACTCTTTCTCTCCCAGGCGGCGGCCCTCATCCCTTCCTAGTAATGTCTGCATCTCTTTGAACATGCTCAGGACGGATGTGCTATAGAAACAGGCAATACAGAACAGAGGAAATCTGTCATGGGGTGTAGATGATGGCTGGGTTGGATGTAAAAATTCAACATGAAAAATGGGGGGCAGGTGTGTGAGATCTTACGAAGCTTGGGATTTAGGGAGCACATAATACATAAACACCCCTCAACCTTTTTCCCAATGATCCCATTTGGAAGTCCTAGGAGATGGGGGAACGTGAATTGCGAAAGATAGACTTCTGGTTCTCACGCTAAGCTTCAACTATGTGCCTGGCCCTCTGCCGGGCCCCAGTATGCTTGTTCTATGAATCTGAAGTGCATAGGCCATGGTTACTCCAGCAGCCTAGACACGTGATTGTGTCTGTGTTTCTGTCCTCAGTTGGTAACGTAATTAAGACTTCATACTGGAATTGATTAGCTCGTGTCTCCTATCCCAGCTCCAAGGAGGAGCTTGGCAGTGGGGGAAGGAAATAGGATGAGAAGCTGGTACTAAAAGAAACACAGGGTCCGCGGGTCTTCTGCCCGCCCCAGAGCTTGACTTTGTTGTGGCTGTGGCTTCCATCCCACAGAACGCAGCCAGGAGGAATTTGTTCAGGAGCCTAGGTCACGTCAGGGTCGCTGTCACACTCCCTCGTGTACGAATGGGGGGCGATGGACTGAACCCTCCCGGGGCTGGGGCTGGGGGTGGGGGTGGTCAGCAACAGGAGCACAGGCTTCGGAGTGAAAAACACGAGTCCAAGTCTCAGTTCAAGTCGCCCAGAGGCTGCTTGATTTGGGGCAAGTTAAACTAGCCTCTTCGAGTCTCAGCTTTCCAAATCTGAAAACTGGACAATATTGATGCCTTCCTCTTTGGATCGCTGTGACAAAATGAGACAGTGTCTATAAAAGGACCAACACAACGTCGCACACTCGATAAGAACTCAGGTAACAGTAGCTCTCCGGGCTGCCCGCCCCGGGAACTGTCTGCATCTGGATGAGCAGAAGCTGCCAGGACAGGAACGTGCAGGCTCCCCGACTTCTCAGGGAGCGGGTGGATGGTGGGGATGCTGAGTGTCACCCCCGAAAGGGCAGGGGGTTTGGGAACCAGGGGTCCTGAATCCTATGTCTAGGTTCTGGGAGGATTCACTCGGGCAGATGGTCAGTGACAGAGGGACTGAGGTGTCAGTGGGACCAGGGAGTATCCATGGTCTCTTCCTTGGGAAACAGCCCCCACGGGTGTCCTTCCCCCTCACCCCACCCCACACAGCAAAGGAGGATTAGATCTGGGGCTGAGAGAAAGCAGCTGAGGGGTTCTGGTCACTAGTGAACTGTGTCCCAAATAGAGAGACCCAGATTATATGAGAGACAGAGAGAGAAATTTTGAGAGGTAGACAGATAGATGATGGATGGATAGATAGACAGACAGACAGATGAGAGAGACCAGAAAGACAGAAAAAGGAGTAGAAAAGGAGATAAGGAAGCTTAGAAGGGACAGAGAAGTACTGGGGAGAGAGGAGAAACAAAACAGCCCTTACCGACTGCCTTCAAGGAGGCGTACTTGTTGAGCTCTTTGCCGGGCGGCTGCTGTTCGTAGGGGTTGGAGATCTGGCCCAGGCTCGGGTAGGAATGTGGATGGCCCATCTGCTGGAGCAAAGGGGAGGTGGGCACTGCGTTGTTCATCTGGGTAGTGTCTGGAAGCGAAGAGAACAGAGGGAAATGGTCACATACGGGCAGGACCTGCTACCCACCCTGCCCACGGCCACGTCCCTCGAGACCCAAAGTCCCCACCCTTTGGGGACCCGAGAGGGAGAGCGGCAGAGGATGTGCAGGTTCACCAGTGACAACCCCCTGTACAGTCTTCATTGGAAGCAGCCGAGGACGGATGGGTAAAGAGCAAAGGATGTGCTTAAAACGTTTCCATCTCCCCACCAAATTAATATAAGGTCCTATTGTTGCAGGGGCTACGTCTATTATCAAAACAATGTACGTGTAAAAGGATGATCAGCTTCAGCAACAGCCAAGGAAACGCAAGTCAGGACAGCGAGAAGCCACTCCTCTGCCGAGAGCTGGGCAAAAATGGAAAGGTTTGAAGGACACCAATCTGGCAAAGATGTTGGAAACAGAGCGGTCTCAAACATGCATTGTGGCCAGGCGATTTGCTATCATATTTGCAGAAAGAAATCTGGCAGTGTGTATTGAAATATAAAGTGCATGTGTATGTTGACCAGATAACACCACTGCTGAAGGACTGAGCCTTCAGAAATGGAAGCAGCAGCGTGTGAGCCTATTTCCTCAGAGACGTTCTTTGCACCACTGTTGGTAACGTGAAAAATAAAGACCACCCTAGTGTATATAAATATTATTCTGGCATTTATAATATCTCTCGTTGGCCACCTGCAATCTGAACTCCTACCAAAATAGGAATTCTTAGATGATTGTACATCCCTATTATGTACATAATATACACATACATGTAATGGGATATCATTCAGCTGTTAGAAAACAATGAGTTAAAAATCAGTTAACTAATCCCACTTCTGGGCATATTATATTCAGGAAAAAACTCAAATTCAAAAGGTGCATGCACCCCAATGTTCACAGCAGCACTATTTACAATAGCCAAGACTTGGAGGCAACCTAAATGTCCATCAACAGATAAGTAGATAAAGATGTGGTGTATATATATACACACACACATACATACAATGGAATATTGCCCAGCTATAAAAAAGAATGAAATAATGCCATTCGCAGCAACATGGATGGACCTAGATTTTATCATACTAAGTGAAGTAAGTCAGACTGAGAAAGACAAATATCATATGATATCACTTATATGTGGAATCTGAAAAAATGAGACAAATGAACTTTTGTAAATACAAAACAGGAATAGAATCATAGATACAGAGAACAAACTTTTGGTTACCTAAGGAGACGGTGGGGAGGAATAAATTAGGAGTTTGGGATTAGCAGACACAAACTGCTATATATAAAATAGATAAACAACAAGGTCCTACTGTAGAGCACAGGGAATTATATTCAATATCTTGTAATAACCTATAATGAAAAAGAATATGAAAAAGAGTACACATGTGTATAACTGAATCATTATGCTGTACACCAGAAACGAACATGACATTATAAATCAACTATACTTTGGTTAAAAAAAAGGGTAAAATTGAAAAAAAAAATCAGTTAGCTATACATGTCAAACTAAAGAATTTTCTTAAGGTTTATATTGTTAAAGGGAAAAAGCAAATGTCAAAGTAATGCAAATAATATAGCATTTGGTTTAAAGAAAAGAAAATCTATGCCTATTTTTGTGTGCTGTGGTATGCAAAGACTGAACAAAATACATAAAGATACACAAACTGAATATTGGCTACTTAGAGGGAATGAGATTCATGGGAAGAGAAGTTCAGGAAGATTTCTCCAAGGAAATATACTTTGAGCTGAGATCTGAGATCTAGACATTGGTTAAGGGCGGTGGATGGTGGAGTGTGCGGGGGAGGGTGCTGCAGGCGGAGGAAACAGCAGGGGCAAAAGCCTCGAGTCGGAAGGAGCGCTGCATCCTCACAAACAGAAAGAGCCCCCCCACCCCCCGTCCCCAGTCTCTAACCAGAGTGAGAGGAAGGTGGGACAAAGTGGGATTGGAGAGGCCGGCAGGACCCAGTAGAACTTGGTGAGCGTGTCTGTCTTCACCCTGAGAGCAATGAGATGGACGGACCAGAGGCAAGAGTGAGGTGGGAGTCAGGGAGTCCAGGTGAGATCATTACGGTTCAGCTTCCGGCAGGAAACCAGGGTTCTCTCTAGCCTCATGAAGCCTGTCTGGAGAGCCAGATTAATGTGGCAGCAGTTGCTGGTGGTGCCCTGAAAGATCCCCCTCCCCCAGCATGTTTACGCATTTCCCAACTGCTGTGTTGGCTGCTAATAGCTCACAGCTGCCCCCAATATCCAGAAAATTGTTCTCAGTTGACGGGGAGCCACCAGCCTGGCTTAATCTGCTTGATGCACCTCACCCTCCACACCAGGGGTGGTCGGCATCCAGCGCCCAGCTGACACCGAGGTACAAAGCCCAGCCCCTGGCCTCACAGGTGGGGATAACTCGATGGAGCAGTGGGAGCCCCAGAGCTCCCCTGGACTGGGATAAGTTTAGAGCAGGGGTCAGCAAACTTATTCTGTAAAAAGCTGGATTGTTAATAGTTTAGGCTTTGCGGCTGGAGCAGTCTCTTTGGCAACTACTCGACACGGCCCTTGTAGCAAGAAAGCAAACATAGACATTATGTAAACAAGTAGGTGTGGCTGTGTGCCAATAAAACTTTATTTACAAAGACAGCTGGCAACTGAATTTGGTCCAAGGGCCATAGCTTGACAACCCCTGGGGTAGACTTTATCTGAAACTGAGACTGCCCCCAACCTTGTATGGCTCTTTTATCTTTCCTATTTTGTTTCCCTCACAACCTTTAGAGGTGTGTGTGGGTGGATGCGTGACTGAATGTGTGTATTTTACCTGAAGAACCCTCCCTCAGAGTTTCATACACCTGAGCCCCTCTCTCAGGCACGGCATCTAGACAATTCAACCCATGGCATGTATGGAATAAGCTTGGCTTTAGAAACCAATATACTCCAGTGGAAAGAAGCCGGGATACCACAGCTGAGACACAGAGATAAGGAGAGTATTTTTATCACTGCACATGCATGGATCATCACACCAGCCTAACTGGCTCATGGGAATATCGCCAAACACAAGCCAAGTCACGCAGCCTCTGGCCAGCATCTGAGGAGGCAGACGTGTCCTTCCGCCGTGATAGCCTTCTGGCTGGGATTTAGCTGGGGTGGAAGAGTCCTCAGATTAGTGAACTGTTGGTGGAAATGTTGTCTCATATAAATGCAGCTCTCCCTGTAGCCTGGACCCCAAGATCCTCTGACATCTTCCTCTCCGGAGCAACTGGTCCGTCTGCTTCCACTGGGCAACTTGTTTTGTGCCCAAATGCTCATGCAGAAGGAATAAGTTCTCATTGTTGGCTGCTCTCTGGGTTTTCCCCCATTATATGCATGTGCATGTGTGTGCGTGTGTGTGCGTGTATAGGCAGCTGCTATTTTTGTGTATTTAGAACCACCACCTCTTTTGGCACTGCTCCAGCCCCATTTGAGTCACGTGATGAGCTGCTAATCACAGTAACTCTCTTGGTTTGGGTTTTCCCAGAAGAATTCACTAAGTACAAGCCTATTTTGGGGTGATGTCTGGAAATACTGCAGAAAAGGGGTGAGGGGCAAGACAGGGAAGAAAGAGAAGCTGATAAAGAGTGCCGTGCCAAGCAAGGGCAACTGTGGTGAACCAGAGTTTAATCCCACTCTGGAATTCTGGCGAATGGCGTTGAGCACGTGTCTCAGAATTCCATCACCCCTTGGGCAAGTGAGCCCCCGCGTGTTCGCCAGCTCCCATCAGTCACTGTTTGAGGGCTGGTTCTGGAGGACAGTAATTCCTCAGCGCTTGTAACCCACCGTGTTTGTGGACGGAGTGAGCTCTGGTGGCAGAGAGACTCTTACTGAGGGATGTAAGAAAGAGTGGCAGCTGGAAATCAGGCCGGTAACTCACCGCTATGGCCACAGAGTGAGCACATGAGTCAAAAGAGACCAGTCGCAACCACTCCATCTCACAGTGGTCGGGCCAGAAGTGAGCATGTGATCTAGGCCGGGCCAATCAGAGTTCTTGCCTGAATTGTTTCTATTTGGAAGCCTTGGAATCAAGAAGCTAGGAGGCCAGGAATTCAAGCGAGTTTGAATCTACCACATGGAGAAAGTCGTTCTTCATTGTGGAAACATAAGGACAAATGGAAGAGAAAGCAAAGGAGCCGGGGAGCCTCTTTCTGAATAAGCTGGTGCGCTTCGGGGTGACTGCCACGCGCGACGGACGGTTCTGACGAATGCAACTGCGGTCCGGGTCCCCGGGAAGCTGCCGCTGGCCTCCCATGGGGCCCACAGAGTGCGGCAAGGCTGAGCGGGCACTGGCCTTGGGTTTTCTGCAGAGCTTCAGCAGACTTTCAAAGAGCAAATGGTCTCAACAGCACATAAAGAGTGCCCAAAGACATTCACAGGTTAATTAACTAACATTCTAATGTTTTTTTGTTGTTTTTTTGTTTTTTCCCTGGAAATAGATCCCAAACACCAGCCAGTCTAGTTAAAGAGCTGACACCACCCAAACCCAGGATCCGGTGTGAGCCCTCACTCCCATCTCTTTGTGCCCGTAGTCCCAGGTCCCACCCTCTGTGTTCAGACCCTGTTTCCAGTCCAGCCAGGGGAAATGCTGAACACTTCATTAAGGAAAAGAAAATGTGTAGAGATGTTCCTTACCACTTGGGATAGCCTTTCATATTATTAAACAGAATACTTAATACTCCATTATAAAGCATTTGCTTTTGGACGATTTCTCCCAAATCCTGAGCTCACTCAGGGGAAGCAAGCAGTTACTTAATGGAAGTGGGTCTGACCGAGATAGCCCACCAAAGTGACCCCTCACAAAAGAAGACCAGGCTGCCCCAGGGTCACGTTCCTGCTTTCACATTCAGAACAGCAGGCAGCAAATTTCTGGCAGTTTTAGATAGCCATTTTGTGCTAGCTTCCAGGCATTGCTTATTCAGAAATATTGAAATCCAGTCTCAAGGCAGCAATCAAGAATTATTACACAGAC